TGAGGACTCAGAGAGGCTGTTAAAGAGCTGGACTGAAGGGAAGAGCAGGACAACTGCAGAAGATTTAATCAAGCCCAAGGCAAATGATCTCCAAGTGGTGGATAGCTCTCTCTCTCTGGGGCCTTATGAAAGCCACCTGCAGTTCTTTATGTGGAAGGAGATGCTTCAAGTGATCCAGCCCCGAGCAGAGCTGCTCTCACTCAAAAGCAACAGTGCAGATATAGCTGTGTCTGAAGATGGGCGGAGTTTGTTCTGTACACCCAAAAGCAACCAAGCTTCATTAGGTTCCTTCTCTACTTTTGGCTCAGCCACAAGCCAAGCCAGAGCCTCTGCTTTTGCTGATTTCTATGGAACACCCAAAACCCCTGATTATCCTTCCTTCTCTGGATTTGGCCAAACCACAGCCCCTGTTTTTGGCTCCACCACAGGATTTGGCCAAACCATGACCCCTCCTTCTTTTGACAACAACTGTGTCATCCACACAAATCCCAAGTTCACTTCAGGGCAGCATTATTGGGAAGTAGAAGTTGGACACAGGGACTATTGGGAACTGGGGATAAAAGATAATTTCCTGAAATATGATGGCCAACAATATTCCATCTGTGGTCCAAATATAATCACAGAGCTAGGCTGTGAAGACAGACCACGAAAGATTGGGGTTTACCTAAACTGTGCATTGGAAAAGCTCTCCTTCTATGATGCAGACAACATGAAGCACATTCACACTGTGAGCTCAAGCCTCATGTCCATGCCACTGTCAGCATATTTTAACATTAGAGTCACATCACCTGATCGTAACCCTCTGACAGTGTGCTGGTACTGAAGTCAAGATCAGTATCATAGCAAGTACCAGTTGTGTTTTCAGCGTTTTCAGGAGTAGAAAATATCCAAAAATTAGCATCTTCCAAGCTGGATATAAGAGGAGATAAACAGAGTGAAACATCAACAACAACTTCTACTTACGTGATCTTTTGCAGTGTATCAAGTATATGTGTAGGTCTGTCTTCCTATCATTTCTAGTATTGCTTATGCAGGCTACATTATAGCCAGAATAAATGTTGGCATTGTGCATTTCTGCAAACCATGGATATGTAACATTTGTACGTTACTATATAGCAGACATATTGAAACTTAACGTTTTTACGTTCTAGCAATGCTGTGGTTAACATGTGGTTATGTTTAGGCACAAAAGCGTTTTGGTTATGATTAGTAAAAGATCTTGTTTTGAATTAAAGTACTTACTTGGCACAATCGCTTCTAAAAGTACTTCTGGATATATTGACTATTGAGTGCAAATATTTTTTCTCAGGCCCTTGCCTTGTCCCAAACACAAATACATGGACACACACCAGGGCATGTGAGCAGAGTGCATACGAGCTGCAGCACTGGGTCTGACCAGCAGCAGATTGTTTGCTGATGGTGGTTTGGGGCAGTCTGGGATCAGAATATGTATTATTTTGTATTGTATTACTGGATTTCATCTTCTTCCTCTTCTTTTTTCACAGCAGTGCTAAATATTGAGAAATGTGAGATTCCAATTGTGGATAAAAATGTGAATAAAAGATACTTCAAAGACAACAGAGATATACTGTGATGCTGCCTGCTGTTAGTGTTTTCAGGTCACTGTGCTGTGTGTGACAGGTGTCAGGGGACAGCTGCTGTCAGTGTTCAGGTAGGAGAGTTGATCCTGAGATCTGTATCAGGTGTTTTGGCTGTAGTACTGTAGTTTAGATGTGAGATTAACTGTTGTGCTGAGCTGCATGTGGATAAACAGAACTGGTCTGAGCTCAGTTTTGAGAAATGTGTCACGATCTAACCTGCAGTTTCAACATATGACCACTAGAGTGTGATGTTACACTCGCGTATATCTGACAGGGTCCAATAATGATCCCAGAAAATGGAAGTGAAGTGATTAATATTTTTCCAGTTTGTAGAGGTGACGTGAAATTCTGCTTGGGATTTTTAAAAAGTAATTATCATGCCATAAAACAACATCGGATGACTACCGCAGTGAGAGACACATGGGGTGTGGCTTTTACAGGAAACTGAAACTGTCAGATCAATATAATGCCAAGTCACAGGCTGGCAGAGCAAAGCCAGAAAGTGAACCATGGCGTCTGCTTCCTACTCCGAAGATCTGACTTGTCCTATTTGTCTGACTATCTTCACTGATCCAGTGATTCTTCTTTGCGTACACTCTTTCTGCAGAGGATGTATTACAGATGCACTGAGTTCACAGGAACTGTGTCCACAGTGTCGGACAGCTGTTCCAACAGAAATAAAAAGTCTTCCAACCAGCCATATTTTAAAAAGACTGGCTGAAAAGGCAAAAGAAGCAGAGAAGATAAAGACAGAGCCTGCGAAGGTATGTTAATGATATTTATAAGGCAATGCAGTCGGTGTTTATGTGGCCAGTTAAGCGATGCAGATGTTGATGATTTCGGGTTTTTTGCGCACATCATGTATATCCTTAATAGCACACACTTTGTAGTGCCAGTTAGCCTAATCTGTCAGGCTTTAGACTCATACATTACACTTTCTGTGCCACGGTCAGTTTTTACACTAAACTGTAGTTAAGTGCAGCGTCAGACTCACAGTATCAGCCGTCAGAAGTGCGTCATTATTCATGGACGGTGTTTGATCAGGCCCAGATCATTCCTTCAAAACAAATGTCAGTGTGGTTAAAAAAAAGAAGAAGGCCCTATTAAGTAGTGAATAAGCCTACGTGATGGCGTAAATTGACTTATACTTAATATTTTGTGCATTAGGCTGTACGTGCAATTTTACCAACCAAGTGAAAAAATGTTGTTTGTTAAGAGAGCTCGCGAGAGTGTGTGAAGTGACAGCAGGTTGAATAAGGAAGTTCAGATAGCCTACGTGTTAAACCTGCAGTATTTTTTTTTTTTTTTTTTTGTTAAGTCATCTTTATTGCAAAAAGTGGTTTGCAGTTCAGATGCATTGTTCCCAGGTGTACAACATCATTTGGACAATCTGCCTTCTCAGTAAAAGGCGTTAACCTATGGAACACTCTACCCACTCACCTGAAACTGGAGACTGATACAAATGCTTTTAACAGAGGACTAAAAGCATGGTTAAAAGCAAAACAACAATGTTCACATGTATAAATATGGACTTAGTTTAATATTGTTACTAATACCACGGTTGCGATCATGAATTTTGTTTGTTTTATCTCCTACTGCTGATCATATGCTCTGTGATCTTTGAATATTACTGTTTGCAATCATAACATCTGTTTGTTTTATCCCATTTGTTAATTATATGCTTTGTGTTTTTAGAATGCCGCCTATGGACTGGTGTTGAAAATTAGCACGTGTGCTACATACACCTAAGCAAAGGCATCTGGTCTGTCCACTGGGACAGTCTCAATGTATTTGTGATGTCCATATCAAATAAAATAAACCTAACCTAACCTATGTGACTTACAAAGATAGATATATATAATAGTGAACGAACATATAGAATACAAATAAGCACAAGTGAAGCTTTGCCAGGGGAGGCTTATAAGTTATTAAAATAAGCCTCTGTACAACTTCATGGAGAAAATATATAAAATTAGGTTTTTTTACTGGTGAATTTACATTTATGAATGTGGAACTTTGCCAACAGAATTAATAAATTTATAATGAAGTACATATTTTCTTTACTTTGACTTCTATAAAAGCAAAATACTACATTCTCCCACAATAAGGTAAAGTCTTTATAAATATGGTACCTGCAGTATGTTTAGTCAGCAGCTGAGCTTGTTGCAGCTCAGTCGTATGGATCATACTGTTTATCCTGCTTTAATGCCGTTTACATCATTACCTGTTAACCTGTCAGTGGTTTATTCTAAACATTAATACACACGGGCATGCACGTGTGCAGGGCAGCCATCCCTACTGAAAATACTATGCTAGCGCAAGACTATAGGATGAGAAATTAGACACTATGTTGTCATCCATCTGCTACAGTGCAGTAGCAGATAGTGGAACGGGGGTGTGTCAAGGACTATTTTCTCGTTGATATTTCCTCCTACCTAAACCTGACCCAGACCTTACCTCTGACCATAGGGCGCGCTACACATTAAGTGAAGAGAAACACTTTTCAATGGGGGAACAGACTTCTATACAACACCTGTGTGGCTGCAATGTGGTACAGTGACAGTCATGTTAGCACTGTTTATTGTAACGCTGTGCTCTCCCCTTACGTTATATTGCTTCAAGTTGTTTATCTTATATTTACTCAGTTTCCCGTCAATTAACCTGCGTGTCTTTGGACTATGGGAGGATGCTGGAGTACCCCGAGAAACCCCACGCTGACACAGCGAGAACATGCAAACTCTGCACAGAAGGGCTTGCCACTCTTGGTTTCAATTCCCCTACCCCAGGTTCGAAACAGGAACCCACTTGCTGTGAGGTGAAAATGCCAACCACTGCACCACCATGCCACCCACTGATTGTATCCTACCTAAAATTATCCACAGATACAGTATGTATTAACTTGCACACTGCGGCTGATCAGTTTGTCATGCAATTGGTGGTGTTTTTCTGTGCACAATAGACTTTGATCAGCTAACTTTAGGCTGTACCTACACCCACCCAACAGATATGCCATCCTAAAACAGCACCAAGCCTGGGGAGAAGCTCTGTTCCTTCCATTGCTGTAGTTCTGTAACTTAAAAGCTTCACGGCAGGCATGAAAATGAACAGGGTTGCCAACAGAGGGGGATATGGCCATTAAGTAAGGCCATGTTAAGTGAGGCCGTCACTTCTGCTGTAAAATACTGTTTTATTTGTTCAGGTTTTGCGATACCCATTTCTGCAATACCTTCTTCCATCACAAGCAATGGAGGTGAAAATTTAAACAGTCGCCATTATCAACAGTTTTCAGAGAAATCATTTATTCAGTAGAAAATATTGTTTTAAAAATTGTGTTAATTCAGTGGTTAATTATCAATTCATTACTTTTTAATGTTTTTTGTTTTTTTTTAAATGCTGTCAAGACCACAAATAAAGTTTTCCCAGCCCCTATTAGCACTGGAGTGGAGACAGGAATCTCAGATTCAAATGTGTCAAAACCTGGTCAAAGAAAAATATCTGGATGGATACTGTATGTATCAGTAGGGGCTTGCCTACCTCTGAAAATTCTTCACTATTAACATAAATAAATTAATAATACACTTGACAGAATAGAAAAATATATTTATGGCTTTTCAGAGGAAACATGATTTTGTCTTCAGAGCTCTGATGGAGGTCAGGACTTTGTGTAGTGGCAGCTACGTGACAAATGGTTTGACGGTAGCCGAAAAATTTGAAATCAGATGTGTAAAAGTAGCATGAATTACTGTGAGATCCCGAATTGATTTTGTCGCTGTGATGGGGACAGTTGATGTTAATTATAGAATATAATCATGATTAATTAATGAAGTTATGCTGCTGTGCCACGTGTGTGATAAATACTTGCAGCCATCACTGAGCAACAGGTGTGTGCACACTGAAACTCAGGGGAAAGAATATATTATAGAATAAAATTGTATTGTATTCATCTGTAACACGTTTCATTACAGCAACTTTAACTGCTTTTTATCAGCTTATATTCTTTTTACATTTGTAATGCATCATGTTTTAGTTGTTGTATTCAAGTTTTTCTATTTCATTGTGTTGTATTTTTTTTTTTTTTTTTACAGGTGTGTGAGTTGTGCCCTGAGCATGAAGAAAAGCTGAAACTCTTTTGTGTCACAGATCAGCAGTTGGCTTGTATCATATGCCGAGATGGGGAGAGACATGAAGGACACAAGTTTCAACCAGTCAAAGAAGCAGCTGCATCTGTGAGACAGGAGTTGGAGAAGGGGATGGCGAACCTTTGTGATGATATCCTAGCTATAGAGAGCGTAGCCAACACACAGAGGGAAGAAATAAGAAAAACCAAAGCAAAATCTGAACAGCTGATGACCGAAATCAACAGACAGTTTGAGGAGATGCACCAGTTTCTGAGAAAGAGAGAAGATGAGATAAAGAATGAGCTGAAACTCAAAGAGGAGGGTGATGTTGAGAAAATGAGCAAGAGCTTATATATTATAGAAACAGCCTTGTCTGAGTGCAGGGAGCTGGAGGGAAAGGTGACATCAGTTGTGAAAACTGAGGACTCAGAGAGGCTGTTAAAGAGCTGGACTGAAGGGAACAGCAGGACAACTGCAGAAGATTTAATCAAGCCCAAGGCAAATGATCTCCAAGTGGTGGATAGCTCTCTCTCTCTGGGGCCTTATGAAAGCCACCTGCAGTTCTTTATGTGGAAGGAGATGCTTCAGGTGATCCAGCCCCGAGCAGAGCTGCTCTCACTCAAAAGCAACAGTGCAGATATAGCTGTGTCTGAAGATGGGCGGAGTTTGTTTAGTACACCCAAAAGCAACCATGCTTCATTAGGTTCCGTCCCTGCTTTTGGCTCAGCCACAGGATCAGGCCAAACGACAGGATTTGGTTTTGGTTCCACCACAGGATCAGGCCAAACGACAGGATTTGGTTTTGGTTCCACCACAGGATCAGGCCAAACGACAGGATTTGGTTTGGGTTCCACCACAGGATCAGGCCAAACGACAGGATTTGGTTTTGGTTCCACCACAGGATCAGGCCAAACGACAGGATTTGGTTTTGGTTCCACCACAAGATCAGGCCAAACCCTAAACGTTGGCAAGGCCTTCTCATTTGGCCAAACCACGAACGAGTCTTCCAGGTCCTTCTTACTTAGAAAACCTGCATTTAGTGTCAATAAGTTCACTTCAGGGCAGCATTATTGGGAAGTAGAAGTTGGACACAGGGACTATTGGGAGCTGGGGATAAAAGATAATTTCCTGAAATATGATGGGCAACAATATTCCATCTGTGGTCCAAATAAAACCACCGAGCTAGGTTTTAGAGACAGACCACGAAAGATTGGGATTTACCTAAACTGTGCATCCAAGAAGCTCTCCTTCTATGATGCAGACAACATGACGCATATTCTCACTATGAGCTCAAGCCTCCTGTCCATGCCACTGTCAGCATATTTTAACATTAGAGTCACATCACCTGATCTTAACCCTTTGACAGTGTGCTGGTACTGAAGTCAAGATCAGTATCATAGCAAGTTATGGTAACCAAGTGTTTTCAGCTTTTTCAGGAGCAAAAATTATCCCAAAATTGGGAAATTTCCAAGTTCTTTATTGCAGGAGATAAACAGCATGAATACATAAAAAGACTTTGAATTAAAACATATTTTGCAGTGTAGGCCTATCATGTAATTTTAGAGGTCTGTCTTTCTATGATTTCTTGCATTGCTTATATAGGCTACATTGAAGCCAAAATAAATGTTGGAAACGTACGTTTCTGCAAACCACAGATATGTAACATTTATATGTTATGTAGCAGATATGAAAGAAAGAAACTTTACTTTTGTGTGTTTCAACTCTGTGGTTAACATGTGGTTATGCTTAGGCTCAAACAATACTTGGTTATGGTTACAGAAAGATCATGTTTTGACTTAAAATACAGCCAGTTTTGGTGCCACAATCACAACTGGAAATCCCACTATGTCCCACTAATAAGCCCCAGTTTTGTTTGCCACTGATGCCTTAGTAAAAAGAACTGATATTGGTGGCACAAATACGGCTGGAAATACCACCAATTTCTGGCTAAAAAACAACAGGTTGTGGTGGCACAATCATGTCTGGAACTGTCACAGATGTCTCACTAAAAAACACCAGCTCTTGGTAACACAATCACAACTGGAAATGCAGCCAATGTCTCACCAAAAACCAACTTGTGTTGTAGTCACAATCATTGTGGGAGCTGCTGCTGATGTCTTGGTAAAAAACAACCGATTTTGGTGGCACAATCATGCCCAGAAATGTTGCCAATGTCACGCTAAATAATAATTGGTTTTGTTATTTGTTGGTCTTGGTAAGATATGTAGGAAATGCACAAATGTAATGTAGCAGTGGTTTGGAGAAACATATTATGCAAACATTTTCCCCTGGTAACTGGGCTTATTATTGGTCTTGTTGATATGGTGTATGTGGAGTACCAGCTAAATGAATATACATTTTGTTGTCTATATTTGAATGATATGTTTTGTGTTTGTCATCTGATTTTGAATGCTAGGACTTAATTATTTGGGATTCTGTGTGTTTTATACTAATGTACTGACGTGGATCTAAAGTATGTATCTGCCATCTGTATGAGATATTCTATGCCGCCTTCTCACCACTGGAGGTTGGTGTTATCATGTGTCACCAGACCTTGGCTATATAAGCTCTGGAAGATCTCATCAATTTTCAAAGAATAAAAAAATAATGTGACAAATATGTTTAATAAAATTGTATCTGCTCAATCGTGTTGAACATGTCCTTCCACACAGATACTGAGAACCACTGCCTCCAAAGAGAACTCTATTTAATATATCCTCTAGATACTCCTTAGTGCATAATTCTATCCAACCCTTTTTATAAAGACTTAGACAGCATCATTTTCCTAAACATGTATCTTGCTGTCAAAGATTATTTTTATTTCAATCCTTGTTCCTGTGCTCCAGTTTCCTGTTTCAAGTTTTTTAATGTTATTTTTTGGAATTTTTATTTCAGCATTTTCTTGTTAATGCTACTGTTGTGTTGATTCTCTGTGGATGCTAACAAGACTTTCTCAGGGACTAATATTGAATTTTGGGGGGTGATTTAGAGAGCATGAGCCAGAGGTGGGACCAAGTCATTGTTTTGCAAGTCACAAGTCACAAGTCTCAAGTCGTTGCACTTAAGTCCAGAGACAAGTTCCAAGTCAAGGTAGGCATGTCAAGTTGCAAGAAAAAAGGCTGAAGTTCATGTGAAGTCATGAGTCAATGGTTTTAAAGTCCCAAGTTGACTTGTAAGTCTTTTGCAACTTTGATTCCTGTGATTATGTCAAGATCAAAGACATCAAATCTGTGACTTGAGTCCACACCTCTGGCATGAGCTTTAAAGATCTATAAGATAACCCGATAGTTGTCTCCCTGCTGGGTCGAATAGAATCCATTCGTAAAAACGTCCTCCCAAAGTTGCGCTTCTAATACCAATACCTATTCCAATACCATAATCAATATTCTGTACGTTAGATAGCTTGATATCTCACATTTGGTAAGGTAAAAGGGCTCAAAAGTCTACAACTTTGCAAGTCAGATGGGGGACTTGCTCTACCAAATCTAAGATTTGATTTTTGGGCAGCAAAATTAAAAGTTGTGGTGGTTTGGGTTACTAATGATATTACAACTGTAAGGTTGGGCATCAAATAATCAAAATGTGAACATTCAGTTGAACGAAGATTATTTTCAAATACTCCCTTGAGATCAAACAAGGCAAATATATGGACAATAAATACTGCTTGTATGTGGACAGAAAAACAGAAACATATAAATTACTTGTCCTATTTTGCCCAGAAATGTATCATATCTGGGCAAGACAGGGTCTTATCTATGTACATCAACGTATAGTTTCAAATTACATTTAGCCATTTGTCCAGATTGAGGAGGATTTTTGCCTCCCAGATACTGATTTCCTTAGGTATCTACAAATTAGACAATGGCCTCTAGTTTCGCAGACCGGGCGAGGCGGAGGCGCAGCGCACCTGCAGGCAAAACCGCCAAATGACATCACAGGAGCTTCAGCAGCAGTGGTCAAACCAAACTGGTGTCCAGTGTTCCACCCGCACTGTACGTGGCCGACTTTTAGATCATGGCTTAAGGTCCTACAAGGCTATCAAGAAGCCCCTGATCAATGAGAGACAGAGGTTAACCCGGCGTCGTTGGGCCCAGGCACACAAGAACTGGACAGCCAGGAATTGGAAGAAGATTTTGTGGTCAGATGAGTCCAGTTTCCAGCTTTATCTTCCTCCTACTAATGTGAGGGTACGCAGAAGGCCAGGCAAAGCATTATCTCCAGCATGTACAGTACCTACTGTCAAGCATGGTGGAGGCAGTATCATGGTTTGGGGATGCATGAGTGCTGCTGGTGTTGGTCATCTCACTGTCTGTGATGGCACATT